AATATATATATATATATATATATATATATATATAGAAATATATACAGAAAAATATATATCGAATATTTTTCTTATATATCGAATATAATTATATATATTTTTTTTCATATGTTTCGTCATAGTAATATATCTTATTTCTTGAGGTTTTTGCATGTACAATAACTTGTAAAATATAAACAATAAATAATTACCTTAAAGAAATCAAGTAATTGCTGTCGCGTTATTGTCTTTAAGTAAGATACTTCAATATTTGCTCGGTCGAAGTTATATTGTTGACTTGAAATCTCTTTCCAATATAAAGTACATCGTGCATTTATTTCTTCTGGTTTCTCTAAACATAATGTAACCACAGCTTTTTTAAATTTCTCAAATTGCTCTTCAGGCATGGCTGTAATATGATCCTAAAATGTTATTATAATGATGTTAATGATATATTCACATAGAAATATAATTTCATAATATTACATAATAAATAGATTAATATTGATTTATTTACGATATTATAGAATATGTGATAAATATAAGTAAAGAAGGATTCTTAGATTTCGATTAATATATTAACATATTATTTTTTATTATTACCATTATTATATAAATAATTATTACTTACCAACATGAAGTCTATAAACGAATTAATCTCTTTTTCGACATATTGTGGATGCTTATCACCTTGAACTACAATTTGCAAACCTTGCGTCCCATTTGTTCTATAAATATCACTATATAGTATATAACCTAAATTCTTTTTTATTCTTAAAGTGTTGAAAGGCTCAGCAATAATTTGTAGCAAGAGTTCTAAGAGCATATTTGACTCTGTTGATTGTAAACCAGTCTGGTAATATATCATTGTACAAGAATTTTTTTGTAATTTACTTTCTATTTCAAATAAAAATGGTAACCTAAAATAAACATTATTATATAATGTTGCGTATTGTATAATATGAACAATAATAGCTTATAACAGGGAGGAGAGAAACATTTAATTTTTAAAGCAAAAACTTCATTACAAATTAGAAATCTAATAAAAATTAAGCTTATTTTTTCTTATTATTAGTTTATGTTCCTTAATGTAAATTGATTTTCTTTTTATTTAATTTGTTATTGTGTAAATTTGCTATAATCAGATTATATTATGCATATTTACCATCTTCTAGTTTAATTCCACGATACAATATCGAGTACAGCAAAGGTATTGAATAAGATTTAGTTTTCAACTTAGAGCTAATTAGTTTAACTGTATCTATAGCTTCTAACTTAGTCACATTACCATGTATTAAGCATTCTATATGAATTTTATTAAATAGCTGCGGTATAAACCATTGGAGTCTCTCGACAGTTAAATCTACATATAACATATAAGGTATTTTTTAATAATTTTTAATTATATATAATTAAGAAGAGTTTGAAAAGGTTTAAATTTTTGAGAAGAAAAATAATTTTTAATGAAATAAAATAAAAAAACATTCAAGTTATCTTCTATACTTACAAGTAGTTGATTCTAATAATTCATTTTCGAGCCAAGCTTGCTCGGTTAACAAGGTTTCTAGATAGTATTGTGCCTGTTCATAAGGCTCCTTAGCAACAAAATTTATTAAATTACTAATATACTGTAAATTATCAATAATTTTTTATTAAACTTTTTATTAAAATGCTGCATTAAAAAAAAACTTGTTATATCGATTATACATTTTATTGTACATACATTTTCCTTCAGAATTTCAAATCTTTTTGGATCAACTTTAAAATTTA